CGACCAGAGTCACGGAACAAATTAAGTTCGTGAACTGAGGTACCACTGTACATTTCCCCCAAAACAGAACCAAGGGTATTAAGACTGCAATCCTAAACATGCTTATTAAAGGAGAAAATAAGTAGGGTTTACTTCTCATTAAGCTTGCTGAGGATTGAGGTATTAAAATATGAAACACAGTGCTGCCCAATCTTTTTCACCTTTGAAATTAAAAGTTAGAAGGAATGATGCAAGAATATTAAATTCTTACTATTTTTCTAACATGTATCTGTCAAACTGGCACAGGCCTTTTGCCTCCCTGCACCTAACTTCAATTTCTTAACCTCAACATTAGCATGTTATAAATAAGTTGAAGTTTCCCAATAGCCAAGTTATACTAAGGTTGCATTTCTGTAAATCTTGATATCTGGTACTTGCAAACTATGGACACCTGGCAATCAAAGAAACACCTTGAAGGGGGAAAAGCATACTTGCAAATACTGAACATCAACTATTTACAGTTTCACTGCTCCTCTTTCTAAGGCAAGGGGTGGGAATACCACTGGATTGCTTTAATACCTGTAATCTTGATATTACAGGAAATGCTAGTTTTGCCAAGCATCAAACATGCAGTGAAGATGCAGGGTACAGTGCCTATTAATAGCAATATTGATCATTACTAAAAAGTCCATTAGATATCATCCTACATTTTTTGTTGAATAAAATGAAATGAGCAGCTTTTAAATATACTAACATACACACATGTACACACACACTTACGAAAACTAGTTGATAAATTATTTATATACAGATACACATTCTTTACACTGGTCTCTATTTCTGTATTAAAGATCCCTTCCCCAAATCCTCCTCACAGGATTCTTGAACCACTATGTTGCTACAGCACTTAAGAGAACTAAACATATTTCAAGTCTCTCTGTAAACAATATTTAAGGAAGCAGTGAAAAATTCACAAGGAATATATAAAATGCTGTAACTGAAAATCAGTGCATCACATTCAACAACAAAAAATCGCTTCTGGAATGTGACTTTACACCACTCCTTGTCTTTCAAATATACATAAATTTCATAATTTGAAACGAACAAATACAATGTTTATTGTATTTTCCAACTTACCAACATACTATATAATTCATGACGCCTGTAATATCATTGTTCACTTACATGTGCTACAGGAATTTGTTTTAGCTTAAATTTATCTTTTTTAAAAAATTATTTTAACCTATCTGTACTTCTTGGGAACTGCATCCAATAACAATCATATCATAATTACTATCAATTTACCTTTTCACTTTTGGCTCCCATATAACATCTTGTTGTGTTTTCCAATTCTCTAATAACGGTAGAATATATCATGCACAATGTCTCACATTACTTATGAAACAAAGTTGTATTAACAGCATATATTACATTTTTCCTTAATTTTTGCAGATCATATTTTATTTTGTAGTCTAATTTTAAAAAGTATCACCATGCACCTAAGTGGTGTTTTATGTTAGGCAGAGAAGTTTATCTCTTTTATGTTGCTTTTTCTGCCCAGGATATACAATTTCATATAAGATTTATTATGAGTAATTTATTGTATCAGAAACAAATCAGCCCTAACAACTGATAGCAATTACCATTATATTTAGGTAAGAGTTTTGTGACCAACATTCTGCTTCTGCAACTTCACACTTTATGGTAGATCCCAACAAAATTACATGATTCATCACAGTATTTAATGCACATTTTTCAATGCACATAATACTACAGCAAATCTATACAAAAATTCCATTGCAGTAAATATAATACAATGATCTCAAGATCTGATAGCTTCAAAAAATTTAACTTTAACTTTGAATGAAACAGTTCAAATTATGAAATAAATATTGAATCTTCAGCACAGCATGATTTTATTCTGTTTGCACTTTTAACAATTCATGCTTCATTGTGAAAATAAAAAATAATTGCGTGAATATGTCTTTCTGAGTTATTCCTGTAGTTAAGAACAGTTAAAATTCCCTTCTTCTTCCTCATTGTCAGGATTGTCACTTTATTCTGTCCTTTTTTAAACTTCTGTTAATAAAACAGATGCAAAGAAGGTGCCATTAGATTCACTGTTAGCTCTATTCATAACATGCTACTGTTCAAGGGACGTGGATTCAAAAGAAACAAACTTCCAGGCACCACTCAGATATGATACGCTCACAGATTGGAAGTGGGTGTTACACCAGCTGGTAGCCAGTTCCAGATGTTTGGTCATATTCTATTGTATACTGTCGTGTCCAGTCCACAATAACAGGACGAAAAAGACCGCAGCATCTGAATTCAAAGAAGTCTATAATATTTCTTATACATCCATGGCTAAAAAGAAAGCAAAAAACAAAAAATGGCATATGTACTTAATATTGCAATTAACATATGCAATGTTACCTATATTAATAATATGATTTTCACAGTAAGTATTGTGCCTGTTGATACTGAAAACATTCACTGTTACTGAACTGATGCAGTTATAAGCTGTTAATTGAGTTCCTGATTCAAATAGCTTGTTAGGAGACTTACATACACTGTCTTTTCTCAGCCTTGTCATGGGGACTGTGCTACCAATCCAGTATTTTGGGTTTCCAAAAGGACTAATTTGATACTATATTCAAGGAGTAATACATGCCATATAGCATTAGTTCTGATGGAACCCAAATTACAGAAGTGGCAGTAGAACATAGCTCTGAGAAGAAAGCATGGAACAGCAGCTGGGAGTGAAAATGGAGCGCTATATGAAGGCTGGGAGAATGAGTAAAGACTTAAGGAAAAAATAACAAATGCAATGAAATCTTTTCTGGAATTTTATTGGAAAGGGAAACTTGGAAATTTAAGTAGATTCATAGATAATGATTAATGTAAATTGCAGGTAATATTTTTCAGATCATGCATAAGACTATTAATTTTTTGATGAAATTAGATTACTGTTGTTTTGACCATACAATAGGTATTATCTGAATTTCAAAGAGTTGAGGAGAGAGAAATGAGATAACAGAGGTACAGTGATCTGGAACTAGACAAAGTTTGAGGAATTCAAGGGAATATTAGAAAATAGGACCATTTGTCATGGGCCATAAAGAAGTAATTTAAAAGCATATTTTGAGGTGTTTTTGTTCATTCACAAATGAAGTACTCCTCTGTATCTATGCTACAAAACAACTAAGCTGCTTCAAGGACCAGCATATCCAGAAAACACTCCTGCCATGATAGCAGCAAAGCCAACTGGAACTTGTGAATGAAGCTTCTCAGTGAATGATTCTTACAGTCCTATTATAACCCTGGTTGGATCCAAAGTTTGTCATCCTTAAGATTATAATTTGAGCAGACTCTTAGATTTAAAAAGCTGAAATTAAGTCACAAATTAAGTCAATTTGAATGGAGTAGCAGCTAGTAAAATTGGATACTTAATCCACAAGCTATTTTTTGGCCACTTAGCTGTTTTTTCTTCCATGTAAAATTCCATACCATCACCACATAAACCCGTGAAGTATTATTTTTTTGGTTTGTTATATTTCATTGAAAAATTTAAAAAAAAATTAAAAACCTACACAAGCTGATTGATTAGTGGTCTCTCATATCTAACCTGTTTCATCTTAAGTATCATATGAACATTTAAATAAACAGGCATTTAAACACTATCTTATTCATATACTTACTTAAATGGACTTTCAATAGATGTTGTTGTAACTTTAAAGTGCTTATATCGTCTGGCATTCATTCTTTCATTTGTAGTAATACCTAAACAAGAAATCTAGGAAAAAACAAAACAGCCAACCAATATTTAGAAACATTGAGATTACAGGAATATCAAGCCACTAAAAACAGAATCAATATTCATTTAGAGTTGCAGAAAATAATGAAAATTACTATTTTTTCTGATTGTATGACAACATAATTTGTTTTTTCACACACAATTAGATTTTCAATACATTACAGCTACCCTAATAGCTACTCTGAGCCAAGTTAAATACCAAGCCAACATCTGAGTCAATGCTTCCTTTGTGAAATATTTAAGAGATAACTAATAGGACAGTGTAATACATTTGATTGGGCAAAGGAGTTTCAAAACTTGGAGCAGTGTGAACACAACCCTTGGTGCCAGTGACTCATGAAACAACCATGCCTCCTTCCAGGCAGTCTTTTACAGACAGGTACTGCACTCACACATTTCCCAAAACGGGATTCTTAATGGAACCCAAAACACTGTACAGTCCTAATAACTATGGGGTTGTGATAACATATAATTAGCATTAAAGTATTCCCTTTTCATAAAAAAAAATTCTCTTCATCTAACTGTATTTTGCTTTTTACTAGATATAGGTGTAATTTAACAAAATGGCATGTGCATTTTATGAATAAATTAAAATAGTACTTAAAACCAAACTGTACAAACAAAAATGTCAGGAAAGGTGTTTTTTTTTTTAAGTATTCAGCTGAACTTTCAAGGACTAGCAATACTAACAAACACACACACACACACATACACACACAAAACAAAACAGTGAAACATGAAATCAAACTACTAAAATATTACTCAGATAGGGATGACCAGATCAATGGCTCTCACTATTAATAGAAGGAACACTTCCAAGATCAGACCCGGGCTTTCTAAACACTAATGGCATTTTAGGTTCATTATTCAGCTCAACTTCATGTTCTCAGAAATTTTGGGAGTAAAGTCTTACTGACAATATGGAATTATCTTTCACAAACAGAACAGTTGCATCTAGTATGTACTTCTGTAAGTTTTTTCTAGCTTCTTATATGTTTCTTCCACTTATAATAGTTTATAATAAAAGATCCATGGGAACAGATTTAAAATCACAATTTGCCCTTCATCATTTGATCTACTAAACTAACCACAACCTACAGAAATAGTGTCAAATTCAGTTCCATCCAAACTTAAGAAATCAATTCATTTAAGATTTGGTAATTTGTATTAAACAGAAGAATAGCTAGGAGAGAATATATACATACTTATTTTCTGTGGCAAGAAACATTCCATATATTCAACAGAAGATTCCTGTACTGTGTGTACATAGTAAGTTTTTTTTTCCTACCTGATACATTTGACACATTAGTAGTACAGCAACCCACATGAAATGAAACACACTGTTCAAAAACATCCAGAACATCCAGGGCGAACAAGTGGCAATTTGGGTAATGTATGTCCAAAAACCATCTGTTGTGTAACTGGTGTGACAATGGATTCCCCAGTCTAAAATAAATATACATATATATCACAGTTTTAGAAAATATTCCGTACTGTTTTCCTTTCGGTGGTTAAATTGAATTTTTTTCTCCAAGAGTAAACTATACAATAATAATTTCAAAATGAAAGAGATTTAATAATAAAAATCAGATAAATAGATAAATCAATATGAAGAAAAATATACAAAATTGATGCACAGAGCACAGATACATTGATTTAAGCTAGGCAAATATGTGAAACAAGAAAACTAAACTTACAAGAGATACATCCATAAATCATCCAGCAAATCATGAAGAGTAAAAAGAATAGATACCCCATGAAATAACGATGATTGCCTGCTCCTGAAAAAAAATAAAGTATTGCAACAAAACATTCACTTTTGTACTACATTATTAAGACAACAAAGATAATGCACAGGCCTAACTCTTCTGCCATAATGTTTAAGAGAATGTTGTTTGCACCACATCAGGTGATTTGCAAATAAATCACAAGCCTCAACCAATGAAGACAGACATACTGAAATGAATCAATTGTACTAATGAGCATAAATATGAAATATAAAACCAGATGTTTTGCTCAATGTTTTTCTTATTATCCCCTGAGATGGCAACACAATACAAAAATTAGTACTGGAAATTATTCAAATGCAAACTTTAAAATTATGGGTTGCATTCTACATTTTGACCAACCTATGAGAATAATCCATCACAAGAGTTTCAATCAAGATGCTACAGCTGCTGAAAAGGAGAGTATACGCCCTGCAGATTTCTCAACCTTGTATAGCCCCAGAACTTTCTCCTGGAGATCTGAACAAATGGATCCTGTCTATCTGACAGATGCTGATTCCCAAGTTTACGTTTTAAGTTTTGCAGTTACCAATATTTTATAAATCATACTATTTTATGAATCATACTGTTTATAAAATGTACCTTCCTCTACCCCAAATCTAGCCCTACTCTAATTATTTAGCAGTTAGTTATTGAATTCTGTTGTTTTTATCAACATGTTTCATCTCAAAGGTTTCTACCAAATTCGTATTTAAATATCATGTTAGGTGAAAGCTGGAGATAACTACTAAGTTAAAAATTTGACTCTTTTCAGATTTAACAATCAATTTCTACCTACATTATTATATAAAGTACTGTATGGCTGTATTTGTTAATGGCTCAAATTCATTAAAGCACCTCACCCCCAAGGGATTTATTTACTCCTCTTACATTTTTGCAACATTAATCCAGCACACTATCATAATAATAGTGCCAATATCATAAACACTGTCTAGAAGAAGACTTATCCAAAGCATAGGGTTAATTATTACTTCTATAACATCCCTGAACTTAGAATGACAAGAATTGGAGCTTCTTAATCATTCCTGAAGTAGTCCTACCCAACTGTACTGTATTATATGATTACTATTTAAATTGTATGTCTCTATGAAGAAAAATGCTTGCCAAACTTTACTGGGTAATCTGAAGAAGAAAACATTGCTTTCCAAGACTCTCATAAATGGAAATAATTTGAGATGTGGAATGATTTACATGCATAAATGATTCTCTACAACAGCTAAAAATTATACCTTTTGAAATAATACATAAAATGTCTGTGGCCTCTCATTCCCAACACTGTTTTCTTACACATTTTTCTGTATTACTGCAATAATGGAACTGGCTGCAAAATAGTACACACATCCATTTTCTTGCCTTGCCCAAACTAATTCTGACAAGCTCTGCATTGCATAGATATATGCAAAATGTTCCATTTCAGGGGTAGACTATTCTGGAGAACATAGATCAGGCTGTTTTAGGAAGGTACAGTTTTCTTGATGTAAATCCTTATAGGATGGAGTTGCTGTTTATCAGTGAACATCTGCAGCAGTCCCAATAGTTACTTTTGATGGGGTTGGATTACCCCCACCACCACCACCCCAAAAGAAAATCTGGTATGGGACTTGGTAGTCCTCCTGGATTCTTGGCTTCTGCTGAAACAGCAGGTAGGGGCCTTTCTCCAGTTTTGGCTGGTGACCACTTATGATCTTATCTTGAACAAGATGCCTTGCTGACAGTTACCTATGACCTGATTACCAACATTAGACATTGGGCTACTGTAATATGCTCTACATGGGGCTTCCTTTGAAGATAACCTGGAAGCTGCAACTGGTAGAAAACAGAGCAGCAAGATTGCTGATCCCATTATCCTGTTAGCATAGAATAACACTGCACTGGTCACCAATAGACTTTGCAGCCCAATTGAAAGTGATGGTCATTATCTTTCAAGCCCTCATGATGCAATAATGTCTTGCTTGTCCAGTTCAGGCATAAGGAGAGGCTTGCTGAAACTCCCCCCTTCTCATAGGTTTCATGAGGTGTAGACCAGATAACAAATCTTAGTGATGGCCCACAGTTTAAGGAACATCTTACCTGCCAAAAGTTCAGGTGGCTGCAACTACCTTCTTTTAGGAAGTTTGTTAAATTGGTAGAATGCGAGTGAAATTTAGCCTGTTGTTCTTTTTGAATGTCCTTATCATTTTAATTTTGTTTTTATTGTGTTGTATTCTGAACTGTTATATGCCACCCAGAGTCAGTATGGATTGGGACAGCTTATAAATATTGTTAAATAACTAAACATATCTTCAGGAAAGAAAGCAATCTGGAAAACTATTGGATCATACCTGGTACAATCAGAGTAGCATGGCCTGGAGCTGAAATGGAACATTCTGGAGTTCTGCGCATACCAAATGCACAGGCAAAAGACTGGCTATGCTCACTTACTTCTCCAGAATAAAAATGCATTGCTGGGTACATAAAAACTAAAGTACCATGTTATGTTTAAAATAAAAAGCAAATTTGATAAATAAAATAAACACACTGGACAGTATCTTTAAACAATACTTACTTACCTACACAGTTACCAACCCATGGACAGTGGTGATCAAACTTGGCTATACATCGATTGCATACACCACAATGTTTGGACCTCACTGGTTTCCGTATCTGTTTGACAGATTTTAATATGCATACTATGTAACAAAAACTTTACAAATATATATGAAATTTTTAATATGCAGTGTCATCAAGAATTGTAGATGTGACCTTATTAAAAAAATCCTTTAGATTTTAAGCCTATTTCACTATGTGGCACTGGGTATATGTGTGTGTATGTGAGAGAGAGAGAGAGAGAAAGAGGGAGACAGAGGGAAAGAATATTAATTTAAACTGGAGCTTCCTTTTTATATAAATTCAGTGGTTTAAAAGAATATAGATAATTTGAAACTGAATAATTGGTTTTGAAATAGCCAAACATGAACTGGAATTTCATCCCCTCTTCCCCGGTTCTTTCTTTAAGCTGTCAACATTGACAGAATCCTGATCTTGAGATATAAATAGCTCAGAGTTTACTAATGAAAAAATTATTTTACTGATTAATAATGAAGTCTTAAGGAAATTTATGGTTATCTAAAGATCAACTGATTACCCGTGAATAATAAATTTTAAGATACAGGGGAAAAAAACTGAACAAGAGACAAAGTTTCAGTATTATGCATGAACATATTTCATCAAAACAAATGTTATATCACACATACCAATGAAGTAAAACATTAGTGTAGGAAGTATAAAATTACGCTTTTAATTTCCTAAATTAGAAACTATATAAAAGTTAGATCTAATGTCTCAAAACTATCAAGATTAACATTCTGCCACATGTAGTGTCAATACTTTTTTTTTTTTTTTACTTCATATATAGAAGTATATGTTGCAGAAACTGTAGGCGTTTCTACAATATTCCTATGTACTGAATCACTTATAAAGCCCACCAATTTAGTTTGACACATCATGATTGTGCTTTTCCTTTCAAAACTATAGATTTTGCCCAAAGCACCCTGCTTTAGGGCATTATTCAGATTAATCTTAAGCTTATATACTGGATAACTAAGCTCCATACAAAAACATATTGTATATGATTTACAGAATTATAATAAAACTGCAAAATTCATCTGTAATTGCTGATAGAAACATACTCATAGTTCATGGTTGATACTTCACATTTAGACTACATATACTGAACATTTAGAAGTACTGTAGATGAGAAAACAAGCTACAGAAAGGTAACATCTACATGTCAATGAACCAATGTAATAGTTTGAATGTTCCATCTTTCCAAAGGAAAAATGAAAGAAGCAGGCTTAAGACAGAAAATGTATATGATGCAGCCTAGCCATCATCTGGAACTCAGCATGAAATATGTCATGCATAATTATAAAAGTACTGTAGTTATATTAGACTGACAATATGGGAGTAGGATGAGGGCAATAATTTAATGGGTGGAATGAAAATGACAAATTAGCAGCAAAAATAACAGGAAAGTCTGGTAGCAGTAATTGAATTGAATATTTATTACAACTTATATGCTGTTCCATTTCCAGAGACACTGAGTGGCTTGCAGTATCAACATCATAAGATTAAAAACAAAAATTAATACAAATATAACCGTTCAGTCCAACGTGAGACCATTTCAAGTAGCACAATCTTACTTGTCCCCAAGTGCATTTCTTAAGAGCCATGCTTTGTTTTTGTTTTGGCTGTCCAATAAGAAAAAAGAGATGGTCCAGATATCTGAGGTTGAACTATTTCAAAGGATAGGAGCTATCAATAAGGCAACTTAATTCTGGGATGCCTAAAGTGGCATCCCTCAGTAGTGGAACCTCAGCAAGTCCTCTCTCCTAGATCTTATTGGACAGGTCAATTCAACTTAGAGAAGGTAGTCACAGAGATACCAAGATCCTGAACCAGGTAGTGGCAAAGAGCATTTTGAAATGTACCCAGAAGGTAGCTGGCAGCCAGTGCAGCTCTCATTGTAGTGATGTTGCATCGGCAAACCTTGGTGCACCTGTAACTATCCATCTGCTGCATGCTTCACCATATGTGTTCAGGGGCAGCCCCATATACACCACATTGCATTAAGCCGGTGACAAGGGCATGAGTGACTTGAGAAAAGCCTCCTGATCCAGGAAAGGCAGCAACTTGACCATGAGATGAAATGATGCAAAGATCCTCGTGGCCACTGCCTCCATCTGCTGTTAAAGTGGGAGCCATGACTCCAAGGGGACACCCAAGTTGACAACGAGCTCTACCTGGGGAAGCACTACCCCACCTAGAGTCAAAGATGGACTAACTCTGGACTCAGTTGTCTTACAAATCCACAGCCATATTTGTCTTGGTAAGATTCAGTCTAAATCCGTTTCTCCCATCCAGACCCTAAGCATCTCCAGGCACCAAGTCAGGATCTCCACATCTCTTGCCTGGCCAAGGTTGTGATATATAACTTGTTATTATCAGCATATCAATGATACCTCACTTTGTTCAAGAGGATGTCCTCTCCCAGCAGCTTCATGTAGATATTAAGCTGTGCAGCATAATGGTATGGCTGAGAATTTGATCTTTCTCTAATTACTACCACAGACTGGCACTGGCCACTCGAGGACAAGAATCACTGAAAAACAGTGTTCACCACTCCCAAACCTTGTAGCTGGCCCAGGAGGATACCACCGTCAATGGTATCAAAGGCTGCCAAAAGACTGAGCAGCATCAGGATAATCTGATTTCCACCATTCTAGTCCTGCCAATGGTCTTCAACAAGAGTGACCAAAGCAGTTTCAGTCACACACTGAGGCCTCATAAAATTATAAATATTATAAAATATTTGATTCACATCCAATGCAGTTAGCTAAGATAGAGGTGGAAGTGAAAGCAAGTAACACTAGTACTCATGTTGCTGTGGAGATACCTTCAAGAACCAGAACCAGACAGTAACATAGCCCTTGGTCTAGTTACAGTTTGAAGCAATTTTAAGCAATAGAATTAGAACTCCAGACTTTAGAACTGTAACCTAAAGTTGCCATGATGATATTTACGAATGACACAATATAATGAAGTACAAGCAATTATTGCAATTGTGTCTACTGAATACTGTAGAAACAGCAATCTTATCATTAATGGTTTCAATACACAGTGCACTTAGGAAATTAGGGAAATTCATTTGCTTCACATTCTGAAGTAAGATGACTTTGTATTTCTGACCAGAGTTTGGATTAGAACAGAGATAATTGGATTAGCTTGCACAGCTGCAAACCTTTCCATATTCCTGATGTACTTGAAGCCAGTTTATGAGTGTGACAGCTATCACAGAGATAGCACAAGCACTACAAACAGCTGCTTCCTGATACAATCAAAATGTAGGCATTCAAAATGTGTCCTCAACATCACTGCAACATGTCTTCTTCCCAAGGGCTAAGAAGGTAATGTTTTTTTAAAAAGTTAGCCACTGAACTACTTGTACATCTCTAAGTAATTGGTTAATTAAATTTTAAATTTTCCTTTAGAAAATATATGTGTATGGGTGCATGCACACATGTAATTGAGTAGAATGAACTAGCCAAAGTGAAATGGAATAGTACTTATCCTTCCCATTACTTCTACTGTAGCCAAATGAAATTCAACTGCTGGTAAGCAGCTATGGAACTCAGTGGTGACACACAGGTTGAATACATTGGCATGTCTTCCCCAAGGCTCCAATGGAATTTATGCAAAATGTTCTGTTGATGAAGACAAAGGACAAAATGGTCCCATTCAAGATATGGAACATCTATATTTAAAATGGTGCCCAGCTAGGGGTAGCATTTTAGCTGCTGTGATGTATTTGTTGTTTTGGAAATGGTTAGCCAGATGGATGTGAGAGAAGGGAAAAGGAAGGCATAAGGTAAGAAGAGGTATTAGATAGTAATTGACTGATGAAGGTGAGAGGAGTATCAAGACAGAGCAGATGGAATATGGTAATGGTCCTCTGATTGAAGGAGAAAGATGACAGCATAGCCCTGAGCCTGGATTGGACCAGAAGGTAGCACAGAAGTTCTTGGATTACAACATGGTTGGTGAGCTGCACTGTGACACCATCAGTGTGGGAATCCATAGGAGAATGGAAGATGTCAGCCACCATTATCATGTTAGCAGTGGCAAAGAGAACACTGACCCAGGACAAGAGCCTAAAATCTGCTTTGACCTTGCAAAGATGCCATCTCCAGAAAGACCAGTAAGAAGGGCAGCAATGCAGGCAGAGACTAGCACAGAGGGCTGTTTGTGAAAGTAGAGCGGTAGAGTAGTGAACAAAGTGAAAGGGAGAGTGAGACCATGTCTCATCTGCTTCAGAGTAAAAGACCATATATATGTTAGAACCACTAATACATGTGACAAGCCCTTGGTCACCATGGAGCCATGAACTATTAAACTAGTCTTGAAATCCCCTTTTAGGGTATGCACATGGAAATTACCCAAGATCACAAGCCTTGGGATTCCAAAACCATCCTCAAGCTGAGGTCTGGGAGTTCACAAAGCTGCTGCTCAGATATTGTTCTCGTGTAGTCACTCTCCAATTGAAACCCCAAGCAGCTCCTTGGTTTTTTGTTTTGTTTTTTGTGACGCTGTGGGAGATGAAGTGCTTGAAAAACGACTAGAGCAACAACAGCAGGAAACCAAAAGTGAATATGACTGAAGGGGGGGAGGGGGACAAGACACCTGCAGATCATTTGGATGAGTTTGTAGGTTTTCCTGTGGATGAGGTTGCTATATTTCCTTTAGTTTGGAGATCAGCTTGGAGGGCACAATTGAGGTGCGTGGGGCAGCATCTTGCATCATGATCTGAGATTCTTTTGAAATTATTAAACCCAAGAAAGTGAATAGGATTCAATATAGCATGAGCTCTTGTTCCAGACAATACCTGTTCTGGCAATTGATGTATCATTGAAGCAATGGCAGAAGGATATATCTAAATTTGTGTGGCAGGGAAAAAAACCACGAGTTAAATATAAGGTATTACAAGATGTAAAAGAAAGAGGAAGATTGGGTTTATCTGACTTGAAATTCTACTTTGCAGCTTGTTGTTTGCTTTGGATTAAAGAGTGGATGTTGCTTAGAAATAGAAGGCTTTTGAGCTAGAAGGCCATGATTTGAGATTTGTATGGCATGGATATTTATGGTATGATAAAGCTAAGGTTAATGTAGATTAAAAAAAAAATTGTTAGACATGCCATACTGAGAATATGGAATAGATATAAACCCAAGTTGTGCCCAAACATACCTTTGTGGCTCTCAATACAAGAAGCTTTTTATAGACGAGAGATGATATGTAAACACAAATGGTTGACTTATTGTGATATATTAAAATTTTGTCAAGGGGAGTGTGAAATAAAAACGAGAAGTTCTGGAGGCAGAAGGATATACTTGTCAATGGTTCTCTTATGTACAATTATTAGAAAGATTTAAACTAGACAAAAGAATTTTTGGCTTTGAGCAATGTAAAACTGAGTTTGAAATAGAATTGTGTGCAAACGATGAACATGTTATCGCTAAGATGTATAAACTTTTATTGAAATTTGAAACAGAAGAAGAAGTGAAAGTATGTATGATATACATTGTATTTTATTGTATTTTTATTGTATTTTAATTAATTCCTTTTTGTTCAGTCACTTCCTAGTGAGATGGGCGGTGACCAAATTTGAAATCTAAATAAATAAAATAAATAAATAAAGCAGGCTAAAATTTTTGGTTACAATATACAAATGGAACAGTGGGAGAATATGTGGATGAAAGGACTGAAATTTACATTATGTTATAATCTTAAAGAGAATTCTTATAAAATGATATATTGTTGGTGTATGTCACTGGGGAAACTAGAATGTATAAAGGTACGTCAAATTTATATTGGAAATGTGAACAAGAAGGGACATTTTTTCATGCTCGGTGGATGTGTAAAAAAGCCAGAAAGTTTTTGATGCAAATACATACATTAATTCAAAAGATTTTAAAGATTAATATACAATTGAAACCAGAGGCTTTTCTTTTGGGACTGAATGATAAACAGTTGGAAAAAAGTCATGGAATGTTGTTTTTATATATAACTGCAGCAGGATTATTATATGCAGAAAGGTGGAAAGATTTGACATTATCCACAATGGAGGAATGGATGGTGAAGATGATGGAGCTTGCTGAGATGGCTAAATTGACATCTTTGATCAGAGAAAAGATATTATCTAAGTTTATTGCGGACTGGAAACCCCTTACAGACTTTTTGCATGAAACAGAAAAAAAAGAACTTTTGATTTATGGCTTTGATGATTAGAAAAAAACAGATTATAGAAAAAAATGAAAGTTATGCTGTAACCATAGAGTAAGAGGTAAATTTATATTTATATTTATAACTGCTGTAAAGAAAACTGGAAACTGGAAAAGAAAAAGAAAACTCAAGCTCAGATACTTTGGTCACCTAATGCGAAGAGAGGACTCTTTGGAAAAGACCC